TTGATTTATTCTACTAAAATAGAGAAGGTAGGATATATGAGCTCTACTGCCACCAGTTACCAGGGGGCGCTGTCATGTCGCCCTTTATGTGCAGTTTTGTGTCTATTTTTGGTTTGGACGCCACATGAGTAGTTAATGCTGATGGGTTTTCACAGCTGCTGGGATCAGACTATATACTGGTAGAGGTAACTGAAACAGTTTAGTGGGTACAGACTAATCCTGTGATTAAACAGTTACATTTCTGTTGTTCTTATTATTGATATTAGCGTAACTGTCTAATATCTGGTTTTAATCACAGTGAATGAACTCAACTATGTGACAGAGAAACAGCTTGTTTATCCAAGAGCTAGACTGAGCCCGCTCTACGGGACATGGCTAACTCCTGGGTAAAGACAGAGACACACACACACACACACACACACACACACACACACACACACACACACACACACACACACACACGTAATCAGACAGAATCAGGGGACTTCCTCACAAATTACACAATTAGTTAATTAGCTAAATGGCACATTTGGACGAAAGTAAAATTACTCTGAGAGAAAAAAAATTAATCAGACTAAATGAGACATCAGCTCGAGTTAACAAACACTTTAACTAAGAGAGGGAGAGAGGGAGGGAGGGAGAGAGGGAGGGAGGGAGACAAGTGGAGGGGGGGTCCACCTGGTCCATCTGGTCATTATGAACCAGATGGACCCACGTGTTGAGGCTGAGGCCGAAAGTCTCACACACACACACACACACACACACACACACAGAGGGTCAGGACTATGTTCAGGAGCAGCTGGTGAACTTTTAAACGTCTGCTTGTCGACCCTCCATCCTGCTTCACCTCCCTTTACCTCTCCTCCTCCTCCTCCTCCATCCTGATCCTCATTTCAACTCTATTTAAACTTGGCCTCAGCTGCAGTGTAATCTATCACACTGTATACATTACATTATATATGAATAAACACAACATGATTTATTCTCGTCAGTACATCCGGCAGAAGGAACGAAGGTTTAATTAGAATCGAAAAATCAAGGTCACTCTCATGTTACAAATCTATTTCCGGCCTCGTGGGGGCGCTGTCTCAGTAAAACTTACAGTGGATTTCTTTAAATTTGGCACAAACACTTTGACTCAGAAGTCAATAAATTCAAATGTAATTCAAAATTAAATGTCGCTGCATAAAAGAAAAATCGTGGTTTTGAAAAGTGGAGTCAACGGAAGGAAAAGAAACTGACACTGAATCTGTTCCTTCATTGAAACAAGAGGAAAAGTATTTTCCCCACTTGAACAAACCAAGTGGTGTAATTCAGCTGAGGACGTGAACGAGCGGCTCCGAACCCAGAGACATTAAACACTCATGATTGAGAGAAAGACTTTGATCACAGTGGACGACGATCAGAGACGACGAGATTCAAGCTGCTTCTGCCAAAGGTTCTTATTCAGCTTTAATTAATGGAGCGTTGTTTTAACAGTGTGTGTGTGTGTGTGTGTGTGTGGATAATAATGTCTGAGCTGCTGTTTCTTTATTCACATCAGTCTCAAATTTACTGAGCTTGATTGTTGCTGTTAAAAAACATAAGTGGTGAATGGACGATCCTCTGAAAACTGAGAATTCAAACTTCAATTTAAATGGATCTTAAATAAAAACTATAATATTTAGAACATTCACTCTTCTTGCAGCAGGAAGTCGAGGCCTCCGTCTTCCACCTGCTCCTGTTGTTCGATCGTGACGACGTCGTAATGTTTCGTTACGTGAGGTGAAAAACACGCTGATGACAGAGAAATATTATGTTCCTCTGAGAAATATTTTGGATCAATGTGTTTATTTATAACAGCATTTCTTTAATTTCTATGGTTTATTGACGAACACCTTTTAATATGAAGTCTTTGAGGATTCTCCAGGAAATGACATCACAGGAAGTTAGAAACACCAGAGTTCAAGGGTTGAACAATGGCTGAATCCCACTTTAAATCACTGTAAGAATAATGTGATGTAATATTATTAAAGCTGATTGGAGAAGTGAATACTTTCTTTCCTTGTCATATTTGTGTTTGTCTGCTTTTGTTCTTCCCTCTCCGCGCAGCGACTCACCGCTTTTTAAATACAAATTACAAATGAATTGGTTTTTATCAGGACGCGAGCGCTTTATCATGATTGTGTGTTTCATTGGAGAAGCACTTTGTTTCTATTAGAGCGTTCAGCCGAGCAGAGCCACAGTAACAGGGATTTAAAAATGCCACGTCACCGGCTGCAACAGACTGGGTGTGCATGCTGAAGATAAGGTGTTTGGGTTTAAACTCATTCTCCGCTGGAAGTAAATCACAACATACATCTGAAGAAACAAAGCAGGAGGAAGTGAGTGTGTGCTTTAATTTAAAGTTCGGCAAGTTTTCACAGAGTTTTCGGTGGAAGCGGAGACGACGGTCGGGCGGTTTTTGAGCAAATAAAAGGAGGAATTAATTTCTAATTTTATTGTGTTTGGAGCTGACTCACTCTCTGCATCAATTTGTTTGCAAACCTGAGTCGAATAAAACAGAACAGGATTATACCTGCGTGGATTTAGACTGAATATCATCTGCTGAGCTGCAGAGAAGCCGAGAGGAGGAGGAGGAGGAGGTGGAATCAGATATTGATCCGTGCGAATGGAGGAAGGTGGAAGAGTTCAGGAGGAGACGTCACGGTCAGGACTCACTCCTCCTCAAAAGACCGTTTTAACTCTCTCCTTGTGCAAACTGTGTCTCAGGGCGACACGTAAACTTTTATACAGTGAAGAGAAAACAAACGACTGTAGAAACTGAGCAGCAGCAGATTTTTATTTTCATCAGGACTGTAAATAAAGATGGACGACATCACAGCCCCCAGAAGTGAAGCCAAAACATCTGGATCTGGCTGCAAAGTCTTTAGCTACAGTCGTTGTCTCCAGTATAAATTGTACGTGTTGACTCCGCCTCTCATCCCCACAGATTCTGCTTAAAACTGTAGTTTTTTAAATTATTGCTTCATCCTGGAGGAGATGGAAGAATTCACAACGACATTTGGTTTTGAAAGAAAACAAAGTTTTCACTCACCATGTTCCACTTTGGAAAAAGGAAGTCGGTGCCGACGTATTCAAAGAAATGAGCGAAGCCTTCCTTCAGCCAGACGTCCTCCCACCACATCGGAGTCACCAGGTCCCCAAACCACTGCAGGACACACAGAAGAACTCATGTTCACATCAGACATGTTCATTTCATCTGAACAGATTCAACCCTGGTCTTGGTCGTCTGGAAGCCTCAACTTCAAACAACATTTCTGTCACAAAAGTGCGTTTGCGGCGACTTCAGTCATTGATCGTTCTTCATACATGAAGATTCTGGATCATTGGATTCATCCTCTGGGAACCTCGAGCTAATTTAAATTGTGCTTCGTCCAGTAAATACTTGGACCGAGGAGGGACGTGAACACAACAACAGCCCAGGAGCCGCAGCGCTGCCGTGACTGAAACTCAAAATGCCACAAGGAGCCAGAGACAATGAAACACAAAGGAAACCCGGTCCGGCTCTGAGAGGTGAGAGAGGCCCCGCTGCCGCCTCCTGCAGGACTCGCTCCGTCTCCGCCTGATGACGCCAAACCGGCAGCAGGCAGCGGAGCGTACGTCCTGAGCTGACGTGACGGAGCAGGCCTTATTCATCAGCAACACCCGAGGGCGGCCGCGGCAGTGTTGCTCATTAAGTGTGACAAAGGCAGCGGCGGGTTGGGCTCCCGCTTTCCGGGGCATGCTACCACCTGATTGGGCGGTAAGTCTTTTCTCAGGGCGCCTCGGAGCCTCGTCGGAGTAAAAACCGACAGTCAGGTCTAATAAAGGCGGAGCACGTATAAAATAGACTGTGGAGTGAACTTTGCTGATAGTGAAACGTGTGGCCACAGGGGTAATACGTGTGGACCCGGGCTGTTTCCTGGCAACACAGTGTGAATAAAAAACGACACAACGTTTGGGAACAACCGCGCGTCCCTGCCAGCTTTGTTCCTGAGCCTGAACGCTGCCGTTAAACCTTCAGCTGCCGCGTGGAGGGAGGAGCATCTTTCAAAAAAAAAAAGTTCATCCCTAAATTCACTTTAAAGGCTCGTTACAGCCTCAGACTGCAGGAGAGACTGGCTCTGCACGTTCCACACCTCTGCTCAGTGCGTGTTGTGCTTCTTTACATATTTCTCAGGTTTTCTGACACAAATTGTCCTTCAACCGATCAAACGCAGAACGTTAAAAGTCGAGAGTGAAGTGAAGTGTGTGCGAAGCACGAGTGTGTGCGGTGTTACACTCTTATTTGGATCATTTCACTCTGCACTTGAAACAAGTCGAGTGTAATTATGTTGCCCAAAGTCACAAATCCGTCCATATGCAGCATACAAATCAGGAGGCACAGCCCGGGAAACAGACGACTGGGGATTTATTTGTTTTTAAAGTGAAGGAGGAACAGTCGGCAGCCGCTTTAATGGAAATCAGAGACGCCATCAGAAAGTTCTAAGACCTTTACTGTTGAGAACAAACAGAGTGTGTGCACACACCGTGCATGCGGGAGGTGTGCGTGGTATCCGTCACGAGTTAGTATTCCATGTCACGCCATTTAATCCACACACACACACACACGCGTGTGTTACAAGTGTTTCTGACAACTTCCAGGTGCGTATTTACGATTTAATCAGCAGCAACGTGTCGACATCTGCGAGGATCTCGGTCTGAACACCCAGGACGCTCTGACCTTAATGTTGAGAATCACCGCTGACTGGAGTTGTTTACG